AATGTAGTTCTGAAATCTTTAATGTAGAAATTTTTTCTATTTTATTAAATAAAGTTTCAACTATAGCATTTACAAAACAAAAAAAAAAAAAAAAAAAAAAAAAAAAAAGATTATGTTTTAAAACATTTGCCATCTCTAGTGAAAAGTTTGTTAACAGAATGAGGGCTGTTTTTTCTTGTTAAATGTGAATTTATTTTGGTTAAGATTATGATCGCACATGATTGTTGAGTGGCAAACTGAAATAATTGTTAGTTAATTAGTAATAAAAGTAAGGGTCATTTTTATATAAGTTCAAGATACAAATCAATAAGGCAGAAGTGAAGAATGATTTTGTAAATTCAGTGTCTTTAAAAGTGATTTTTTTAATAATAATAGAATGAATGTAGTTATGTTGAGATATGATTATGGTTGGGAGAGTAATTGTCGAAGTGTTATAGTAGTAGAGATAAATGCAAAAGTGTCAGAAAAGTAATTATTGGGAAACAAATATCGAGAAAATAAATGTATTGAGGAAGTGAATGTCAGGAAAATAAATGTTAAGAAAAATAATGTGATATTTATAAATAAGCTTGTAACCTTATATATAGTTTAGTATAGTTACTTTAATTAGACTTTATATTGTTATACTATATTTATATAAGTAGTATATAGTTAATTTAAGTCTAATCATATGAATATAAGTAGAGACATTCTTTGTAAATAGGATGAAGAGTTTTAGGAAGTGCTTCTTTGGTTAGTTGAAACTAGAGATATTTTAGAAGATTATAGTATACCAGATACACTTATTAGAAAAGTATTTATATTGTTTGTACTGTTAGTGTTAGTATATAATAAGAAAAAATTAGTTTTTTATTTAATATTTATGACCAAAGTTGAATTAGCAGCATAGTTATAAAGTCTCTTCCTTGTTATAATAGTATTGAGAATATTAAATATATATACAGAGCTTAAATTTATTTGCTGATATAAAAATTAATGATTAATGCAATAATAATAACATTTATTATAATAACAATAGTTACATAAAAATTATTTAGTTCTTTTATTGTACTGTAGTGCACTGACCCTTTTTATGCACCTCCACTCAAAATATCAGATACTTTTGTATAGGGGTTTTTTTAAACCAAGAATAATACATAGATATTTTGCATAGTATTTTCATGTTAACTCAATAAATTTTATAATTTTATATCTTTACTAAGAACCAGAAACTGGTGTAAGTCCGGAGCATAAAAAAATAATACATATAGCCAAAATAATTTAGTGTCTGTTCTAAAATTTTTTAATTTAATGTCTGTTATAAAATTTTTTAAGTAATATTTTTTTTTGTTTGTTACAAAAGTTTTTTTTTAATTAAATTTTTTTTTGTAAAATGTGTGTTAATTTTGATTTTACGTTAAACTTGATTTTAAAGGGCAGTAGTTTAATTATATATTATATAAACAATATACATGCAGATATTATGTGATATATATATTTTATTTGAGAGATGGTATTTAATAAAATTTACAGTTTCTTTTTTATAAAAATATATACAGTATATGATATTAAAAGCTATATTCGCTGTAAATTGCATACATATAGATCAGAAAAGTATTAAAATTTCTACTATTGCTATTTGTATTGAGCTAACTATTACATGATTTATTCTTTAGATATTAAGGATACTAATTGTTTTTCTTCAGCTTTTCTTTCTGATAATCGTTTACAATTTTTAATTCGCTGAAGTCTTTCAAAACTAAAAGGCTTAAAAAGAATATCAGTAAGAGCTCGAACTCTAGACACTGCTACAAATGAAAGACCTGCAGCAAACTCTCTTTTTCCAAGATCAATCACAGCTTTCGGAAGAGTAAGTCCTTGACTCTTGTGTACTGTAATTGCCCAGACAAGGCAAATAGGGATCTGCGTTCATGAGCATAAAATTCCAGCTTTACTTTCCCAAGTACGTTGAACAGGTATAATCGAAACAACATTTACATTGTCTAAAGTTGTAATTGTAGGACCTTTGTAATTTTTAAATGTGATAAAGACTGCTACAGGAAGACTAGGCGGTCCATTTTCATTATACAAAATATTATAAACAGTTCCTATTGATCTATTTACTAATCCAGCTTCTGTCTATAGATTTACTGTTAACATAACCTGTGCACTTTTAGCTAGCAAAAGTTGTGATTTAAGACCTTTTGCTTCCTGATCACCAGTATGTACAGCAAGAATTTTGGCAATAAGATAGTTTAAAGATCCAAGCTTATCTATATTAATTGCATCAACATCAGACCATTTTGGTAATATAAACATTGCTTCTGAAAATTGATTACATTCAGTTCTATTTTGTTTTTCTTCAATGCATGTAGTAAGCATTCTCCAATCTTCTATTGTAGATTCTCCATTACACAATCGTAAAAGAATGTTTCTGAAGTCTTGTTGTTCTCTAGAATCTCCAGATTGCCGTTGAATAATATCAAGTTTATATATTTCACGAAACTGACTATATACTACAATACCATTATTAGATAATGGGTCTCGTGAAATATTAGTTGCATACATAGAAAGGTCAAATACAGGTGGAAGCTGACCAAAATCACCAAAAAGAATAAGAGATCAGCCACCAAATGGTTCATCTTTATGTTCAGAAAAAGCTTGTTGCAACCGTATATTAATCAAATTGAGCATTCGATGACCAATCATACTTTTTTCATCAAAAATTAAATATTTTATATTTTGTAACTTGTTTTGTAGTTGCTTTAACTGCTCACCATTCATATCAAAATTATTACTTTGTATCGGAATATAAAGTGTTGAATGAATTGTTGTTCCTTGAATATTATAAACAGCAACACCTGTTGGTGCAAGTACAAGTATTGGCAGTTCAGATTTAATTCTTGCTATTTCACAAAGTCTACCTCTAATTGCTTTAATAAGATATGATTTACCAGTTCTTGCTGTTCCCATAATAATAATTTTTAATGGTTCAACTTGACAACCAGAAATTATACTTTCATAATGTTGTTCTATTCGTTTAAAAATTTTTTTTTGTTTTTCATTTAAAGTTAGATAATCCACAATATCCATAACTTCATTTTCATATCTTTCTACTCTAGAACTGATTGAAGCTCTACATAAAAATGTATCAGCATCTATAAGATCAGCATTAGAATAATATTGTTTTGTATCATTGATCCAATCAAAATTAAGATCCATATTACGAGATCCAAATTCAGAGAAATGATTAATAATTATATTTGGACTCATTTCTGCTAATTGCATCCAATCAATTTGTATTTCATCCTCCTCATCTTCAATTTGTCCATTTAAATCTTTTTTATCTTCAATAGTCTCATCTTCTATTTCATCTACAGGTGAACTAAGCAAATCCATTGCATCTGAATTAATCTCTTCAAGATAAAGGCTATATAAGTTTGACCATTCTATAGCACCATTTTCAGTTAACTGCTGAATGCATCGATACTTAACATGAAGAAGAACTTTAATTCGACAAAATTTTTCCCATTGAGGACTATGACGTAAAGGTGATGGGCGTGGCCATATACATATAATATTTTCTTTTGTAGATTTAAACCAACGACCATTAACAAATTTGTGTGTTAAATATAATTTAAATAGTGAAAAGTTTTCAAATTCTATTGGCCTTTCACAATATATTTTTAAAGGTGATCATGATGTTAATCCTGTATTTGTAATGTGTGTAAATTCATTACCTTCATCACTACCAGTACTACGAAGCCATCGTGGTGCTTCTTTGTTTAGGTTTAGAGAAATAAACGATCTACTTGAACAATAAAGCGACATACTAAGAAGAAGATGACAAGTCTCTTGTGCTGAAATATCATGTTCTGCAACACTATGTATCAGTAATTTTTGAGCTACTGGTAGCATAGAATCATCAGATCTACTATCTAATATGATTTGATTTAATATTTCAGAAAACGTAGCAGAATGTGGCTCTGCTTTACTTGCATATTTAGAAATATACTGCAAGGCTGCATGAGTACTTAGAACTGGTTTAATGTCAACATTTGCACACCAGCTCTGTAATTGAAGCCGATTATGTGGATTAATATATGGATCATTTCTTGCTGTTACAAGTTCTGGTTCTCCACGTTTATCTTTACGCAAAAAGGAATGCTCATTATTTTCTTTAGGAAATCCAAATCTACAAAGTTATTGACCTGCTTAATTAACACGAATACAATATGCAGGACTACATCGAGTATATCATTGTAGCTTGTTAATCAAATCGATATAATCTTGTAAGTCATCATGTATTTCTTCCTTGCGTTTCTGGCATGAATAATGGTCAGGTATTGGTGTATTAAGACCTGGATTAATTGTAGTAACAAGTGAATCAAGATATTAAATTATTTGATTCATTTTATGTTCATCATCTTTTATTTGTTTTCATTCGATAATAGGTGCATTTCGTTTTTTTCCAATACCATATATATAAATACTACCACGATGTTGCCACTCAAATCTATACCACCAATCTTCTAGGTCCCATCACTTTTTTAGTACATCGTTAAAGAAAATTTCGAACCGTTTATTAAAAAACCAGACAGCGATATGAGGGTTATTAATAATATTTTGACGATGATATTCTGAAGAATTATTTTCTTCTTCCACAGAATTTTCTAGAGATTGTATAAATTTATGAAGTTCTGACCAATGCAAATCAGCAGCACTAAAGATAAAAAAAATCAATCCTTGAGAACCTAATTGCTTTATCATATCTAATAATTCACATCGTCGAGCATTCCAAAACTGCCGAGATCCACACAAACCTACTCTAAATCACATAATTCAGTCTGCCATATGTGTATCACCATTTGCAATCATATCTTGGATATCTGTAACAGTAAGCTGGTCATCATTTAAACTTTGTCTAATATAAATTTTTCCTTCTTGCAATGCTCTCTATCGCATCTGAGAATTTAATGCAAAATAACGCCAACGAGTATGCCATGCAAATCTTCCATCTTTAAATTGAAGCAGGTGTTTAAAATATTCTGCTGGTTTGACATCTTTAGCACGTTCTATATGAAAATCAGCATTGCCTGTTGGATATAGAGTTGGAAATGCACGTACAATATATCCTGGTGTTTGAAATTCATTAATAGGAGAGCTGTCAATTTGTGGCCATAATATAGGTGGGTTTTCAGACTCTATACGTTCAAGAGCACTATTAATTGCAACTTCTTCACGATTAGTTGGTGGAAGATAAGGTACAAAAGAACGTATAACATTTTCATAATCATTTTCATCATTCAAATTATCAGTTGTTTGACTAGTTTGAAATTGTGGAAGTTGGTCATCAATATAACCTTCTTGAGGTAAAGATTTAAGAACTTCATTATCGATAGTAATATCAGCATAATACTGATTATTTTCCTTTAACCAGTATAGTGCATTTGCTACAACATTACGACGAAC